TCCCCCCCCCCCCCCCCCCCCCCCCCCCTCCTTGAACGCACGATCTCGACTCCGGCTTACCTCGAGAAAAAAGCCCTCTGCCAGTGGGGATAGGTGAGATTTCCGCGTCCTTCACGTGATGGATGTCCCTGCCGAGAGATACGAGGGCACTCGTCCGCCCTCCTCGGTGCTGCGCCGAAACTCGTCCTTCGTCGCGGCGGATCGGCGGGAGTCCCCGCGACTCCGAGACGCCATCCGTCGTCGGCGAACGTTCCGGGTGGACCGCGATTCCCGAATCTTTGGACGACGCGCGTTCGTCGCCGGGTTCGGCGGGACGAATTCCGTGGTCGTCGTTGCGACGGTTCCGCACGCACGCCGTTCCGCGTGCGATCCCCCCCCCCGGTCGATGAAATCCCACGACGCTCCTCGTTTCCCTCCCGCTCTCGCCGGGCGTCGTCGGATCCAGACTCGGAATTCGGAGCCTCTTCCGATCCACCCGTCCGGGAACGAGAGCATCGAGAAATTCGCGAACTCCGACGGCAGAGCGTGCCGGTGCATCGTCGTACCGGGAGACGGCGTTTTCGAGAACGTCCGGCCGCTCGAGTTCGGGTACGAGATCGCCTCGAAAGACTCGAGACGAGTCGCGAGGTTCACCGGACCGGCGAAGAAATACACGGTCGGCCGATGTTGCCGGCCGGATCGCGACGCGCGGAGGGAACCCATCGCATTCTCGCGAAGGTCTGCTCTTCCGAGGACCGGAGACGAACGCTTCCGGCTCTTTCGTTGCGGCCGATCGCACTTCCGTCGCCGAGGAAGACTCGTTTCCCTCCTCGTTCGTTGGGAATTTTCTCGTTCGGCGTCGACGCGCTCTCTCTCTCTCTCTCTCTCCCGATCGGAAGGAGGAGAAAACGAGCCGTGACTCGCGGTCCACCCCGTCGTATCGATTCCGCTTTTCGCCTCGTGCGGCGGATCTCTCCGCGGATCGGGAGCGACGAAGACGCGGGGAAACGCCGCGGCGTCGAACCCCGACGCCGTCGCCCCTCTCGCGGTGCGCGACGGATCGACGACGGAAAGACTCGGCCTCGACGTCGGTGGTTTTTTCGATGGTGTTCGCAGGAAACCCGAGAGAGAGGATGGAGGAGAGCCGAGAGTCGGAGAGAGAATTCGTGGAAGTGGAAGGCGGAGGTTCCCGCATCACCTACTCCAGGTACCGCATTCGCTCGCGAGAGCACTCGCACGGAAACGACTCTCGCGAGCGATCGTTCCCGCATGCGACCGTCGGAGCGCGTTCGCCTCCGCGAAACGGGAGTCTCGTTCGTGCCTGGGAGAAACTCGCGCGGACGACGGTCGCGTGCGGAAACGAGCGAGAGAGCGACTCGACGAGAGAGCGTTCGCGCGCGGAAACCTTCCCTCGCTCTCTCGCGGTCGATCGAATCGCCCTTTTCCTTCGTTCCTCGTCCGCGTGTTTCCTGCGGCACGAACGGAATTTGCACGCCGGAGAGGACGAAACCTCCTCGAAATCCTCTTTTGCACGGAATACCACCGATCCCCGCCTCGCTCGAGGCGAGGATCGACGTAACGGTAGTCGTCGTACCTCGTAGCGACCGCGATGGTAGTTACGGTGGTGGTAGTAGTAGTCCTGGTGCCTTGTCTGTACAGCGTGTACCCGAAACGCGAGAGAAGCACTTGGTCCTGGTCTTGCGAGCGACCCTCGATCATCAACTGCTATTCTTCCACCTCGCATCGATGGTACCGGTACACTTCTTCGCTCCTCTGTCTTCCCGCTGCTTTCTATACAAGTCGATGCTCTCGTCGATCGAGCTCGATGCTTAAGGTCATTTGGGGGAATATGGCCATACAAAATGAAATCTGGTCATCACGACCCATCGAGGTCGAATTCGACTTTTACAATGCTTCTAAAATACCGATTCGTATCTCCTTTACTAAATCCCAGCAAGGTACGTGCAAAAAAAAAAACGCATGGATATTGCGCCTTTAAATCTTTTCCAAGTTGGTCCCAAGAGGCCATATTACCCGTATTGTTGGGGGAATACGGCCACTTCTCAAAAAACAACTCAAGGTTTTCCACGTGAGCGTGAAAAATGCTGGAATACGCTGAGTACCTTGAAACATAATAAGGGGGATTCAGCAGTTGAAAAAGAATTCATTAACTGTATTGAGGACTGGCAAAGAAGTCGATATCATTATCCGACTCGAGGACCTGTTGCAAAGAGCAGGATTGCAACGCTTTTGACTTCGAGTAGCATTGCACGCGATTGGGAGCCTGTATCTAGAGACTGTGGGTGTGAGAGGAGTGATCGATCGTGAATTAAAGCGAACGTGCGCCTCGAGTGCAAAATGAGTGGTCTCACGTTGCAGGAAAACGCTGCGTAGTTTTTGCAAGTATGAATAAATAGTGCCAAAAAATCACAGGAAGCCCTTTTAACTTTTTGTACTGGGATATTTACTTGCATTCAAATTGCCACGAAAACGTGTGGAGTGTGTCAGGCGAAGCGGATGTCCTCGTGTACTGCATATCTCGTCCAGATGTGCAGTACGTCTATCCGTATATCCAGAGGAAGTGCATCGGATGATCTTTTGCAGCCTGAGATCCCACGCGAGAGGAAGCCGACGCTACCAATAGGTCAGTGCTGTGCTAACGAGAAATGAAAGATGTGTCCATATGACCCCAAATCGAGATGGCCGTATTCCCCCCTATCGACTTGCATGACGAAATCGACAACACCGTCTGCAAACCGCAAGTGAAGGGGCTAGCACTTCCACGAGCATTCTGGAGGGACCATAGAATAACTTCGAAGACGTGATTTCTGCACCCATGCCGCTATTAGGAAACATACGCTTAAGTTGCTCGAGGCTCGTATTAGTTTCAGGGTCATGAGTCAAATAATCGCATGCATGTGACATTCGAGACATCGATGCATCCCGAATTCCTTTGAGAACCGGTCCGATGAACAGGTCTAAACATTTTGACGATTGCATGTACTCATCCATAGAACTATTTTTTTAAATCGCCCAAAATAATGATTCAGTCTGTAAGGGGATCGATTGCGAAGGGTCACATTACCCCAATGGCCATATTCCACCAAGTTACCCTACGCGCAACCTAACCGTCCGACCCGAAATTTTCTGGAACGTGGGATTTTTAGAACGCGACGTCGGCTCCGAAAATTTAGCCAAAACTCTCGTCCGATCGGTTAAAAGAGCTCGACTTCTTTCCGGGACTTCCCGTGCGTCTTCCCTCGAGTAAAAAAGCGAGATCGAAGACGAATGTACGGTATGGACTTCGTGCGATGAAAGGAATCGTGGATTGGGTTGCAGTTACGCCTCCGGCTGTCTCCTTCGGAACCGCCTGAAACCCTTCCGCTACAGCAGCACCATGTACATCACCGTGGAATCCACCAGGAGACGATACAAGCACATGGTCGTTTTCAAAGTGAGTCCGACCACCGCATCTTCTTCCCTCGAGTGCCACTTTCATCGAGACGTTCCGACTCGATTCCCCATCCGTCGGTCGCGTCGCGTACTTCATACTTGACGTATCGTCGACGAAAGAGAGCGCATGCGTATATTCGACGAGAGTGCGTAGATATATTGCAGGAGTTGAAAAATCCACCGGGACGAACGGCGAGTCGACTTCGAGGGGACGAGGTGGCTCGGAAAACGCCGACCCGGTGTCGCGGTGTCGGTGTGTTCGTTTGCTGGGTACTAAACCTTTTTTGGTTTAGTACCCAGCAAATGAACACGTGAACGCATGACGTGTCTCCCGAAAGCCCATTTCGAGATTTTTAGTCGGAATTCGTTCGTTAGAACTTTAAACCATCGCGAGGATGCGACGGGTCGAAGAATAGGTCGCTAACCGCTGCCGTTCGCGACGACGACGTTACCGCGAAGCCCCTGCCGAGTTGCCGAAAGAACCCTCAAAATCACTCTAAATCGAAGGAAGTGAGGAAGCTCGTAGCCGTCGCATGCCGGATTCAACACACGTAGGCGTTTCACCGTTCGGTATGTCGTATTTCTCAGCGGCAAGGAAGCGCGTTTGGTCCGAATCGTTTCCCGGTCGATCCCGTTTAACATCAAAGCAGCTTCTCTTTCCACCTTTTAGTCTTTTTCCCTTTTCCAAACATGCTTCGACCGAAATCTCGACGAACCGAGACGTCACGTTCTCTTTCCGTCACGATCGCTGGGGACTTTTCCTGCTGCGAATTAAGTATAATTTTTCGCTTTCGACGTTCGAAATCGGATCAGCCGACATAGAATGTTCCTCGTTCGGGTGATGAAATCGTGTCCGTAATAGTACATGTTTTTAAAACGTCGAAATCGTGAGTTCGGTTCAACTTTTCCATGGTCCCACGAAAGAAATGGTATCGACGTATCTATTTTCTCTTTTTACATTTTACTACAATATGACTTGGATGTCTCCCTACCGTTGAAAGTTTTAATCACTGGCATTTACTACTTGCAACCGGTGTAATGATGTTGAAAAATGAATCTTTGCCAGCCTCAATTAGAACCCTTCCACTACTTCGAGTCGGTCACGACGTGTCCGTGGACGAGTTCTAGTCAGCAGGAATCAGACGAAGAGTCAGAGGCCTCCACGACGACCACGTCCTCCTTCCTATCCGAAGTCACGGTGGGGATGAAGAGCGAAAGGGACGTCGACCTCACACCTTTCATCGAGGAAGCTTCCAAGTCCCGAGCGTAAACCTCACCCATTAATGCCATTTTCTACTTTCACACCATGTAACGTGCAACTACATCTCCCTAATCTGCACATTTGCGTTTTGCAATACATTCCCTTCACTCATTTATTGTATCACTCACTGGAACTTGTTTTTTGTTCTCTTTTTTCTCACCGGGTCTCGTCTCGTTTATCCCACTGTATCTTGGTTTTCAGCAAATATATAATTGACTTCACGGCTTTATCTTTGAGATATCTCATTTATTTCTTGATACTCTCGGGAAAACAATGGAGAGGAATGGAGATTTTAATGAGTCGATGGTGACTCCATGCGGGCTTCTGTGGGAGATACAACAGTTTTTAAATTGTTATATACTAAGTGACGGCATCCGTATTTGGGAAAGGAATTTCGAAGCTTGGGGACCTCATCTTCATCTGACCTTCAGTCACGAGCCTCCTTCCCTGTTATTTAAAGAATGAATCAATTTCAAATTCTTCTACACTCGTGGTCTTGTGGACAATATCGAGCTCAATCGAGTAGCTATCATGGGAGCTAACCAGTGGCGTAGCCAGGTTTGCGTCAATGGGGGGGCTAACTTCGCCTTGTCAGGTTGGGGCGGACGCATTTCGACCAGAGTTGGGGGGGCTTGAACCAAACTTCGGGGGGGGNACCATTCATACTCATCGTCTACCCATCCATGAAGGGAATATCGGTCACGGTCATGCATGGAAATTAAGAAAATGCTTCTCAGCAGTTACCCATACAGAATGCAAGTCCATCCCACTTGGAAAATTCATTATAATTCAGTCAAAAGCAAGTGGGACTACTTTCTTTATGGTTTTCAGCTATCGCTCCTTGGCGTAACTTAATAATCACTTCTAGTGTGGAATATTCAAACATTGAGAACATATCTAGCAAAACTTGTCCTCGTGTACAAAAGACTTAATATAAACTCTCGTATGATCACATTTGAGTGAATTCCAAAATGTGATTCAACTGAGCAACAAATCAAATAGCAATGAAAATATGTAGCATTAAAATCTTCCCCATCTCAGGTTAAGTCCACCATGACATGCGAAGCAGATGACACCTCCACCTGCTATCTCTGATCAGTTGGGATGAGAAAAGTTGCCTGCCTGCACAGGCCCGATATGTTATAACGTCTTGGTAGATAGCTAAGCCAAATGCATGGCATTACAAGGAAGACCGGCGAAAGAGGAGTTTTAATTGATTATAGGTTTGATTATGTTGCATTTGGACAACTCCCAAGATGATCAACAAACTGACAGCAGCCATCTACATTTGGGCATCGCTGATATGAAGATCAATATAATTTATTTAACAATTTAATTGCTTTGATTGAGTTGACTCAATCATGGCAGGTTTCACTCCTTGCAGCAAATTTTTTTTTCAAGTCAAATGAACTTGTCCAAGAATCAGTCCAGTCCTTCCACTTACCAAATAATGTAAGTAAGGGAACTTCATTTTTTTTCAGTGAGGATCACAAATCATGGCGTGCCAAAAAAAAAAGGCTCAATGGTGTATAGAAACAAAATAACAGCAGTTAAAAAGGGTTAAAGCATTTTCTTAGCCTGAGCAATGCTAAGTCGGGGAGGAGAGTGAAATTTGTTCACCACCTCAGGTTTATTGGGTTTAGCATCTTAAGGCAAGAATTTAGTATAATATTTCCCAAAAACAATAGGAAATTACTCTTGAACCCCAAGTGCAACATGAAGGAACTGCTTGGAGTAGAGAACATGCTGAACCATGAGGCACTTTCTGCCCTCAAAAAAACCCACAGAATTCCTCAAGTTCTGTCGTCACTTTCTCTAATAGCTATCTAAAGTGCTGCAGAAGATAATCCATGATTTAAGTTTAATCTTTTCCTGATTGTGCTTCAAGTTCAGCCAGACATGAAAATGACAGGCTGACAGACTGTTCCTTGATGTCACAGTTCGGGTCCATCGACACCTCATCCCCCCTTGCGTTTAAGAAAGTACGCATTCGGCAGTCGAGCTTACTGATAATACGAGGGCATGGTGTGAAACAATTTCACTCTGTCATCTGAACCCAAGTTGCTCAGTGGGAAACACTTTTGCATAAAATATCAAGTTAAGCAGTGCTTAGACCAAGAACAAGCCTCTAGTGAGTGTACCTCCACAGATGGTAACAGCAAAAGATGAGGTAAATGAAGAATGAAAGAGAAATAGGCTTTTACAGGTCAAGACAGTGCCCATATGAGATGCAGGTGGTAGAGGAAAGATCGAGGGCAACCCTCGGTGAGACTAGAGTGGGGACCCCCTTTGGCCTATCATGTCATGCTTCTCTACAAGTGTTGGCCTTTCCTAAATTTATTTTATTGAGTACTTACAATAAAATGAAATGTTTCCACAACNCATGTCATGCTTCTCTACAAGTGTTGGCCTTTCCTAAATTTATTTTATTGAGTACTTACAATAAAATGAAATGTTTCCACAACCAAACAAATATAAAGTTTATCACATCTCTGAGTTATAGTGCAAAAATTGGCTAATTTCAAAAGCATCAGTATTCCTGCAAGTATGAACATAAACCCTGCATTAACACACACACATCCATGCAACTGGATGCACTAGAAGCCAGAAAAGTGTTTCTCAGAAAAAAGGCGTGTTAAAAGGAGACTGCTGAAGCAAATGGGTCTGCCACTGTCTACATTGCATACTCAGCGTTACTGACCCTACACAAGGGATTTAGGGAAAGGCAGTAGTAAAGGAAATATTCCCTGGTTCCCTTTAACATGCCATACACACTAGTAACCATCCATGGGGAGGACAACAAAAATACATCTTAAAAAAGCAATTTTCTACGATAATTCCAATTGCTATGTGATTTGGTGCTTATTTGATAATGAGGGATCAAAAGATGTCTAAACAAAGCCAAAATTGGATTGATGATCCATATTCTCTTGGCAATAACCACAAGGCAGTACACAATTCAAGCAACACAATATCTGTTCCTCAGAATGTGATCCTCTTGCATCAGGCCTTCCACACGCGATGCTGACACGACAGACCACTCCAATGTGAAGTTCCATCCAACACAAAACATTTTCCTGCTATGCTTCAAGTGAAAGAGTATCAGGGAAGGAGGCTCAAGATTTTTTTCACGCACCATTACTGTTGAGAAAAGGCCATACTTGATCCCTTCACAAAACAACCATCTATACCACTGCATTTCTCTCTTTGGCATACAAAACCACCAAACTACTCAAGATCACATCCAACCTCCCATCAGATATCACACCTCAGAGATATAACAGCAACAAAGGTTCTACCTGGGTACAGAATAGAGGATCAACAAAACAAAAGCAAGGGTGCAAAATAAAGGTAAAAATCTGACACTGCAGGAACAAAAGCTACCTCCACTGCTTCCTGTCAACCCAACAGCTACTGCTCTGTTCGAGTTAAAACTATATAAGTGAGATGGTAATTCTTGATGGGGGCATAGGGCTATTCAGTGTACTAATATAATATGTCCATGATTCAATAAGATTTGGAGAAGAGAATTATAACAAACTTGAAAAAATTTTGAGCAAGATTCATACAGCTTTTTTTTTCACTTGCCTAGCTTATATATGGCTTGAATATGACAGAAAAATTATCAGCAAGGTCCCATACACAAAATGTCTGTGAAAGAGAATTACATTATTTTGTGTGTTTCACTTGACCCTCCACAGTTCCTGCACAGCAGAACCTAATACTATTCTAAAAGTTATCAAAAGTATCCATAAGACCAGACAGCACCTTGACAACAGTTTCATTGACCTTGGGCTTTCCATCTGGCTCGGGGCACTGGGCCGAATGGCCCGTATCGCACGGAATGGTGGGAATGGTGTTATTATTGAGAGCAGCCAGTCCACAATATGCAGCAGGTTTTAGCGGAGATGGTAAGTCTGGGTCGGGGGAGTCCATATCCAGAATGCTCATGTCTGTGACCACCCGTCCTCCTCGCTTGGGTGGCAGAGGAGGTGGCTTGGATTGATTGCCTCCCTTGGGTGGGATGGCTGGTGGTAGCAAAGGTTCTCCACTCAACTGCAAATGGAAGAAATTCAAAATGCTGTAAGCCAATCACCATCATATTCCTCAGCAAACAATGCATCAGATGTTGGGAAAAATAATTTTTCAATTGATGACTTTTCCTGCTGAAAGTCAACTTCGGTAATGTCAACCAAAAAACAACATGTAAAGGAATAGCATGTTTTTCATGGTGAAACAAGTTAGTAAAGTTGCTCATGCCATAAGAAAACATGAGGAAGCTAAGAAATTCCCAGTAATATGTCCTCATCTTTCAGCTTGAGGAGACACTTATTTCCTCATTGAAACAATCTCATAGTACATCACCACATCAATCAATCAACGTTTGCAATCATATCTGGAACTTAAATGTTATTGCCTGATATTGATGGAAGAGATGCTTCAGCAGAAGAGACAAAAAGCGAACAGAACTCTCAGCTCTGAGGTCCTTGTTGAATGGATCCCCATGGATTAAGATTTCGTCTCCTCTGAATAATCAATACAGGAAAAAAAAAAAAAAAAAATTCTGCTGTGGTAAGAGGCAGGCAACTCCTGAAGTTATTGTATGACAAGCAAATTCTACATATTCACTATTAGGCACTTCTTTTTCATTGGGAAAATGCCAGAGGAAGATGAAAGTTGGGGATTTTCAGCATGGGAAATAAGGGATCAAGAAATGATTCTGGAGTAAGAAAACTTTGAGCAGCCCTACTACTGGTAATGCCAAGTTTTTGTGTTATGTTGGAGATCTTTACATTTCAACCTCTATGCCAGATGTGCACAACTCAAAAGACTGTGAGGACCATTTGTGATTTTTACTTGTATACTGTGGGCCAGTCTGGCTGACCATAGCTGTGGTCAACAGGGCAGGAGCCATAGTAGCACTTAAAATGCCACCAGTCACAGTGGGCCGCAAGATAGGGCCTGGAGGGCTGTATATCGTGCACTCCTGCTCAATGCCATTGCTATGTAATGTTGGTAGAATGCCATTAAATGGTGCTTTCTTTCACTCATCAATCAGGGATTTGGAATAACAAGTTCCATGATGCACAAGGACTGTGAATATGAGATTAGTTCTGATATAGAAAGTAGACACAGTTCAAGAACTTCCAAAATCAGAGGATTCTGAAGATGAATGCAGCAATGTATAGTGAATCTTTCCACTCATGAATAGAGACTCCAGGCCTTGTTTTGGCTTACCTGTATCTGAGGTTCTGGAAGGAGGGGTGGAGGCAATAAAGTATCTACACCCTGAGGTCGATCGCCATCAAGTTCCACCTCGAGCGTAGGTGCTTGGGGCCGTGGTTTCATCTCCAGAGGTAAATTCTTCATCAACAACTCCACCTGCTCTTCCAGCCCTTTCTGAAATCACAAAAGGCAAACCTATGATGAACTACACAATTCCCCTCTTGGGAGCAGCACAATTATTATATATAAATTAGCCCCATCTGAAAGTTGAGAGAGTTGATGTGAGGTTGAATTCAAACCATTGGGGAAAGATTCTCAACTGTTCTACTACAGGGTAGGGCAAAAAAAACAACGCAAGACTTTTAAATTAATATAAAGGGTTTCCATAAAGGTATGACCCAAAAATAATCTGTTGTAATTCAGTAGCAACATACTCTATTGCCACAAAACCTCCCATTCATAAACTCACAACCTGCATATTTTTTGTGATAAGGTCTTTTCTCAGAAACATCCACATCAGTCCACATCTCCACCATCTTGCTGACAGCACAATTCCCTGCAGTACGAGAGTGTGGCCCACGTGTTTGCTAACATTTCCTGTGTGATGTGAACTCTCCCAATCTCACCCCTATGGGTTTCTTTGTTTGGGGTTATACCAAAGAAAATGTTTATGCCAAGAAACTGACGTGGCAGACCAAAGGAACAGCATATGAAAAGCATTCACCAGCATCATGCAGGATATGTTAGTGAACACATGGACAGCACTTTGTACCACTGGGAATTGTGTTGTCAGGGAGATGGTGGATATGTGGAGGCCTGACATAGGTATTTCTGACAGAAGGCTTTAACACAAAAAAAGTACATTTAAGTGTTTAGGTATAGGGGATTTCATGGCAATAAAGTACTTTGCTACTGAATTATGACCATTATTTTTGGGTCATACCTTTATGGACACCCTGTATACCATATACTAGTACCTGCTTCCATTGCAGAGACACTTTTTCTGCACATTGATGGATACATTTCCAGTATATCTTCAAAATGACTCCAAAATTCATTACTCTGATACCAGGTTATGAGCAATCAATCAAATGAAGAAGAGGAAATGCCAGGTGCCAAGGTTGTACTTCATCCATGTCACATTGACTTCATTCCACTGAAATTCATTGTTTGGGTTGACCTCTTTTTGCAGATAGTTTGGATAAATAAAGTATTTATTTAATGGCACATGAATCAGTAAGTATGAACACAGAGAGTTTGTTCAAAGGAGTACAAGGCACTCAAAAGGAATTTGAGTGCCTGTTCATTTTAAACTCCTGACTTATTTTAAACAAATGTTCATGGCCTTGCTTTGGCAAAATTATTTTGGATGAAATTTCAAAAGCCTCTCAGGATTATATCAATCTATGCACAGTGCAAGTTTCATGGAAATGGCTCCAGTGAGAACAGAGACATACAAGGTAAAAGTCATCCATCTTTTTACCATTCCCTATAAATATAGATATTTGATTTATCATCAAGGGTCATCTACTACACAGATCATTAGCTTAATTGAGCTTCAATCAAGGCAGCTCATACAATGAATGTTCTGATGATGTCATTCTGATCATCTGATGAAACTCTAAACCATAATGAATGAAATCAATATTTTTAATTACTAACCGCTTCCAGGCAGCACTTGTGGAAACGAAAGTCATTTAAACAAGTGTGAATGGGGTTGTACTTCTGTTGATGTCTTCCCCCTTTTATTTAACCCCTCTTTCTCATTAACCTGCTTTTTTAAATATTATGAATCACATAATTTCAGTCCAATGTCACTTCATTTCTCCATTGTTTTCACTGGACAATGGCTCCTCCTCGTTCACCTCGCACATTGCTTATCCACAGCTGGATATTAAGTATAGCCACTACAAAGGAATTATTTGCCCATTCTTATTCCTGTCTAGCTGAATTTTGTATAGGGGCCCATAATATGGCACACACGTGCATGTTCGGTCTTCCCGCATTTACAGATTCCTTTGAAACTCCACCCATACCTTAGTGGTTTGGCTTTTCATTTTAGCAGCATAGAGGATAGTTGCTACCAACAGCATAGCATCAGGGGGGGGGGGGGGCATGTGCCCTCCACTTTTCATGAAAGGAAGCCAAAAAAAAAGGGAAGGAAAAGACCCAGAAATACATAACAGTAACCCAGAGTTCCTGTGCCCACCCCACTTAGTCCTGCACCTGCCTCCTCCACAACCCACAGTGACCTTTTTTGTGGCCCCTTGGAGGTCTCCAGTCTCTAAAGATCCATATTTAAATGTGGCCTATTTCGGCTCATATTTGAGGGCCTGCAGCCCTCAAACATGAGCCGAAGTCTCAATTTGGCCCTCTAGAGAGAAAAGGTTGTGCACCACTGACCTAGATGAACTCAAGAAAAAGAAGAGATAGTGTTTGCATGATATAGACCTGAAACAGAAGCATTTCCTGCTTGAGCTCCACAGCATGAGTGAATAGCTTCTCTTCCCGCTGTGATAGATCATGAAGAGCCTTGGTGCTTTGACGAAGGAGACGCATCCCTTCACAGAGCCACACTCCGCCTTCCCAGCCTCCCCCAGGAGGAAGCGCTTCCCCAGACATGTAACGCTCAAACTCCTCCTCTGACAGATTCAGGCTCGATGCTTCAATGCGTTCAATGAACTCCACTGCACAGCACTGCCCAAAATGAGATCATTATGCACAAATTGAATCAATGTCAGGGTCATTGTATTTCCAGTATTATTTGCTTGATATTATTGAATCAATTGAAACTTAATGATACAAAAATAATCATAAAACTATTCACAGGACATCTTGAACCCCTCCCCCCTTAATCTTGATGACAATATGGAATCTTTTTGCCTACTGGACAATCACACTGGACACAACCTTCTGTGACATTTAGTTTTATTCTTCTTTCCTCAATTAATTAACTGACTGTGAATTTAGGCTTTTCTTCAGAAGCATGTCGTAAGCTATGTCTTATCTTGAAGCCACATACATTTGGGCATTCTGAGTTGATGACAGGCTTCTAAGCTGAAAGATATTCTTGCCAGAAATAAGATGCTCAAAATATCAGAATCACAGAATCTTCTTAGCAGCTGCTTGTATCTTCATTCCCTCTTTCACTTGTCAGCATCTCTGAGGTCCACAAGGTAAAATTCCAAGATCATTTTGTAGCAGTTGAAGGAAGTTTGGGAGTGAACACCAAGTTTTCTTTGGACTCCACATGGATTTTGTAGCATAGCTTTCCTGATATCACTTACAAGTTTCTTCTTCATTCAAACATTGCAGGTTAGTCCAGGTCTCGGTCTGTCATTGATGGTTTGATGTTCTTGATACTTTGTGATGGTATTATAAACAGATTGCTAATTGAAATTCTTGAATCAAAACATGCAAAAACAATCATAATCTCCTTCATGAATGAACTTACTTGCAAGGATGATTTAAATTTCAGCAAATCTCAGCTCAGGCATATTTCAATGCACACCAAAAAGAATAAAAAGGAAAAACAATATCCTGCCTGTGACCTCGTTTATCAGTTTGGTAATAACTTATATGAAAGGAGCTTACAAGATTGGTAAAATAATATCCTCCCTCTCCAGTCATAAGTCGCTTTGGGTTGCAGAAGCGAGAGATGTAGCTGATGTTGCTGTGGAGTCGTGTGGGATTCGCCTTGAGGACAACATAGATGAGAGCTGGGAGGAAATCATCAGCTGAGATGGCCACACTGGATGCCGAGCTCTCAGAGTCTAACATCAAGGACCTTGCCTTTGACTCTTGAAGCACCGAGAAGATCTGCTTGGCACACTTGACTATGCATGACAACTTGTCTTGTGGGGCACGTTTTGAGTCCACTTCAATTATATCTACCAGCAGAGATCATACTAGGTGGTTAATAATTAATTAACAGACTTAGGTCAGGACAAGTGTATCTATAACTCAAAGTCCTTCATAGGATGTAGACTAGCACTAACTTTATATCTACATTTACAGGTTTCAACAGAGGTTTTTTCATGCATATGCAAGACCCTGTCTATGAATATTTTCACCCCATGGGGCAAAATCAAAATCAACAAGACTTCAGGTTATAGGTTTGGACAATATTGCCACTTAACCTATCACATGTACCTATATATATTTTCCTTCCACTCTACTTTAGCTTAATGAATGGTAATTTCAACAATTCTGTCAACCTCACTTGTTCAAGATCAATTTCAGTTAACATTTTCTTTAGTACTGTGTTGGGAAAGCAGTCACCAGTAGGGTAATTGAAGTTAGTTTTGACTTGATCAGATTGAACAAGTAGGTCCAGATTAGTGAATTCAAAGTGCTTGTTCAGGCATGTGAACAGCTGCAGTATGATGTAATGGTGATTGACATTTCAATAAATTTACCAAGATATTTAATCAAGCACATGATGTCATGGTTCCTGTATTCCTTGCATTCCATGCAAGTTAGATCCAGATTAGGCCTCCCAATGAGTCATTTTTTTGGAACCTGACCCAATCAGCCAGATTCAAGTCTTGGCTTGCTCCTGGTTCAAAACCAAAATGGAAGCCAAGCTTCATGGTCCAATCTGACATGCCTCAACAAAAAAATTCACCCTGTGTTTTCCTGTTTACTACGTCATCTTTTCTGATTGCTATGCAAAAAAAGTAAACTATGTTGACTGTCTATGGCTTGAGTGATAAACTACTTTCTTTAATGACAAGACTGACCTCAAGAGACATGTACTTTAAGCTTGATTTCAACTTTCCCATAACTTATTTCACTTCTTCAACTTCAGAGAAAGTTTTTGTTTTGGAATGACCCAAAGTTTTAATTGACCTTTGCTATGCAATCACAAGGTGTTGCTACTAGCATTTTTGATCCATGTGTGATGAAGGCAGTGTTGAGAGGCACGACTGAATGTCCTGGGTTCGGTGGTGTAATGGTAGCACACCTGACCGGCAATCAGGAGGCCCGGGTTCAATTCCCAGCCGTCCCCTGGCTTTCTTTCGTCCTCTCTCGTCCATCCAACCTCCCTACCTTCAGTTACTCACGTGGCAACTTCAAATCCCAATCTTTTGGGTTATCTACCACTAGAGAAGCAAGGCATTTCTTAATAGTGGCATTTGTTCGCTCCACTAATCCATTGCCCCTTGGATGGTAGGGTGTTGTATGAGTCTTTTTAATGCCCAATAACTTGCAAACCGACTTTAGCAAGTGAGACTCAAAATTTGGCCCCTGGTCTGAATGTAGGACATCAGGTAGTCCATACCTATAGAAAATTTCAGTCAATACCCGTTCTATATTCAATAGAATATTGGAATTGCTCTAGCTCCAAGACCCACCTTGCCAGGCGTCCTTTAGGGTCTTTGAGAGATCTCAGATATCTAAGGGGAGCATGATCAGTGCGTAACAAGAAGGGCTGTTGTAACAAATATGCACGGAAATGCTTTGTCCCCCAAACAATTGCTAGTGCTTCCCGCTCAGTAGTAGAGTAATTCCTTTCCCTTGAATTAAGCATCCTGCTAGCGAAAGCAATGGGATGTTCCCTTCCATCTTGTTTATGAATGGGAATATTATACCACATGAGAAACTTTCCTGGTAGGGCAGAAGCACAATAGACTTGCATCCAAATGGTATCAGATCCAGGTAGATACTTCTCTTCCAACTCAAGTTCTGCTAGTCTTCGTTTACGTTTGCAGTTAGACATTAAATTATTCTCCTTTGCATTGACAAAATACGTTAATGCATCCCAGCCCAGATGCAGAATGCTTTTTAATAATACTCACAGGTGATAGCCTCATCAATCATCTCTCTCATATCAGGCCGACTCTCCTGGATCCCACAGTCAAGGTGCATAGAACTCACCCAGTTGAAACTGCGAATCCTGTCAATAGCCAACCATCAATAGTCAGTCCATGAAAATTCTACCCATTGCAGTCATAACATCTTTTGCAAGTTTCTCCTCTTTTTGCAAAAATCCAAAATCACAATGAAAGAATTAATTTTGGCAATGTTATGCAAAATATATTCTTGCGCCTTCAAGGAAATGTATATGAAGCTTGAATTTATTCCTCAAAGTCTTTCCCAAGATCATTATTGCTTACAAAAATCATAAACACTTAACCATATATGCTACAGAAGTTCAGAAAATGAGAACCAACTGAATTTCAGTGAAGGAAGACTAGCCCATGGAGGTGCTGCTGGAGAAAACAGGTTGAATCAGAAAGGTAGGCTGCAGTGAACACTTTGAGGGAAAAGCTGAATAATCAGACAATACACCAATTTTTATGGCCCTAGCTCTTTGTGGCCTAATTTTGAGTTTGCCTTCATAAAAAAGCTTATCAGAAAGGGAAGAATGACCTGGTCCATATTTACCTGTTTTGTACTTCCAAGTCCTTGACTTCATAGGTTGTGCTGATGGCATCAAAGATTGGCTTATAGAGTCTTGTCATCACACATTTCTCAATGAAGTCCATTAAGTCTGCTGTGCGATCTCGAGAGAATGCTGGGAAAATAATAAAAAATTTGTGAATATAAAAAAAAAAAATTAATGAGGGTCTGACAGAAACTGAAACAAGACAGATTCTGGTCTATATACAAAGCATGTCCCATTTTGGACTCCTTGAAAGCTAGGGAGACATTCATGCAAGGTTCCCTAAAAATCTTCAGCTGGTAGGGAAGATCCTGAATTGTTATAGCAGACAGTCCAGGGCTGCATGTAATATGCTACATGTATATAGCAATGGCATGAATATGGCGGAAAATGAGAAAGGGGTATGTGAGCACCACTGAAGAAAGTTGCAAGAGGGGGTTTCCAGAGTAACCCTCTTTTACTACATTCTTTTGACTTGGAAGTCAACCACTCCAGTAACACAATTGAAGATGAATGAATGATATAGGCCACAGAGGGCTGTGAACAGGAGACATGGGGGACCAACATAATTCAGAGTGAGAGGAAAAACACATCGTCCCTGGTTCTGCTATTATGCTGGTACTATAAGCTGGGATTTAGTATAAACAGGAGTTAGGGAGGAGTTTCAAGCCTGAAGTGCTTAGAGTAAAATCCAGCCCAAGATGCATTCTTCCTTACAGTGAAAGGCAGGATGAGATGCCAGCTTCTCTGACATGGATTGATAGAAGTTCTGAATATGTTCTGCCAGATCATCCAAATTGGAGTCTAGCATGACCCTGAGTGTTCGCTCAAGAAAGGTCTTGATATGCTTAGAGATATCTTCACTGGCTGGCTGATTCAGCTTCCGTAGAAATTCATCAAAAGAGCGAGTGACCTCACGACTCTCTTCACTCACGTCACGGAGTTGAGACCGAAGTTTCCCATCTGCATGAGTGTCAAACAAAACTTGCCATCAGTGAAAGAGCAGGGGTGAACACAGTTGCATGCTGAGTATATAATGCTGTACCAGTACCTCGACGAGGGCTCTTTATATTCATGATGGACTTGAGAGTAGTTGTACGCTTGTCACTCTGATGTTTCTTCTTTTCCTCAAAGCGGGAGAAGCGAGACTCATGCTGTGGGGATGGTGTGCCTCCACTCACATCACTGTGGGACCTTCTCACTTTGCTATGATTCAATAAAGTAACAAAATACTTTCACTAAAAAATGAATTTGGACTCTCCAAACTCTTCATTAAACATAGACGGTTACAGTATACTACATACTTATTCTTAAGCACATATGTTTCAATCTTGCAAGTAGAATCTCCCTCTAGCCAGTTGTAGCTCAACTGCTGTCTATGCCTAAGTTCCAATGGATATTTAACTATGAAATTTAGAACTTTTGCAAAATGAAGTGTCAAGGTCTACAATTTTCAGCTGAAAAAGTATACTACAATCAATCATGGGAAAAGTGGATAACTTTTCATGTTTCATTTAGGATATGTATACCAGGCTCAAACTTTAGGCCCATTATGTCCACCAAATTTAGAAAAGGTAAGAAAGATTTAAGCATACAGGCTTAATCTAATGTGGTTGTAGGCCAAGGTAGATCTTGAATCACAGTTCCTCACCTCAAGCTTTTCAATTTCTCTGGAATCCGTAGTGTGGCTGATCCCTCTTTGCCCGGGGTACTCCGTTTCTGGGCTTTCTGTTCTTTCCTCTTCTGTACCAGCTCCCGGTAACAGTGGGAGCAGTATCCTTCCCATGATGGATTCCCATAAAAGTCACATCCATGTACTCGATTTTTGCATTTCAAGTCATCATGAATTCGAAATTGGATGTGACCTGGTGTCCGCTCCAGGTTTGTGGCCATTGCACTCTTAATCCTGCCTAGTTAGTTTATGTACTGCTTTACACTTTTGTAGACTGAATACATCAATGGTGAATAGAAGTTTGGTAGACATAGCCCATCCCAGGCCTCACCTGACATAAAAGGATAAATTTAATCCATCCTGAGAGAAAGAATAAGCCTAGAACAAGGTGTAGTAATTACTTTTTGCTTAATAGAGTTCAGCAATCCATTGCATCGTAATGAACGTGACACAAACACAATTCCAGGTTCCATGCTTGGATAAGGGTATCTGCCCGTATCGACGCCCCGAATCTCGATCAAGTGAACTTCCTATCCTCTTCCCACCTTAGATAAGCTTACCCTCCTAAGATAATTGTCTTTATTCGCGAGTGATTGTTCACTAGTGTCGTGAAGGCATGAAACATCTTAAAGCTATCCAGAGAGGAAGCAGCTACCACATCGTCACCTAATTCATTCTACATACCCATGCCTGATCGGTTGAACCACTTTGCCTGCTCTTTCACATACTTCGCCTACTTCACCACTCCTGCAGCCCCAAGTCTGCATCACTGAGGCCACTAGAGCATGTGGAGATCGCCATCGCAAGAGCCCCCTGCGGCACCTTTCTAAGCGCTTCCTACTCTTGCTTTTAAAAGTGAGAGCAGATGTCGTGAGCTCCCTTCCAGTTACAGTGCTTATCAAATGAATTCACCCCCCCCTGCAGTGGGCGATAGCGCTGCTGGCTGTGAGAAGAGAGTGACATCTGTTTTCCATCCCATAAACAGCTAAACTATCCACATTTGCGATCCCTGCCAATTACCCAACCACCATAGACCAGAATGATACCTTGAAGGAGCTACGCAAACTTGACATAATACAGCTGATCAGGACGAGCAGGAACCAACATTCCTTAAACAAAGTTCGAGTGAAGTGAACCTGAAGGAATGTCAGAGCACCTAAGTAAAAACAATATCGTCACCTTGTCATCGACGCAATCACGAAATCAGTCATATATATAATTCTGAAGCATTTTTATTTTGACTACGATTTTATCATCCATGAAAAGACACCTGGAAAAAACTCACATTTATCAATATTCTTGACATCCGCAAATGAGTGATACGAAATTTTCATTGTTAACTTTCTGAATCCTTCTCCCTAGCCTTGGTTTTCATTGCAGCTTTCCTTACCCTTTCCCTTCTTGGAAAACCTCAAATGGCAGGCGGTCTACGTTCGATGTACTTTTAACAAATAAGAAGAAATGGACTAGAATCCAGAAGATGCCTATGTTAATTAATAAAATTAATAAAATGTAGACATGCAAGAAATTTGAGGATAGAATGCAGATGAGGAGAAAAGTCGAAAATGCTTTTTATTGGGCACAGTACTCAGAGTACCATAGGCGTCGGAACCGGGGGCAGGGGTGGCAAATGCCCCCTCACTTTTCCGGCAGTGGGGGCAAAGTGTATATTTTGCCCCCCCCCCCACACACTTTTTTTTAACCTAATGGAAGTGTGTGTATACTGGTAATTAGCGACTTAAGATCCTTTGCGGCATTCAGTGGCGTTTGGAAAGCAAATTTAGCTTGAAGCAAGGTTAATGCCTGAGGAGGATTGGCGTGGTACTTGAAAGGTGCCCTGTGGGAGTTCTTTTTTTTGTCTCAGGTCCAAGATCTCCCATCCGATTAGACTTATCCTCCCTCCTCTAAAGCCTTTCCTGGAGAAGAAGGGAGATCCTGGAGTCAGTCCCCTTCAGTCTGGCTTGAAACTTTTTATTGGTAGGACAGTGAACAGAGGTTCGGTGCCACGTCACAGAAAAGAAGTGCTGCTCAAATGGGAACGCTTTTTGATTTCATTACGAAACCAAAGACAGCAAAAGTTGAAGAAAACTCAGGATTTGAACATTTCAACGGTGTTGTGCCATCGGTTGTCCTTATGGACGAGATTAGGATACACCGGAATCTGTGCTTGTTAGTGAAAATGGCCCCTTTCAGCCGCAAAAATATAATTTCCCAAAAAAAGGTGGCAGGGCATTCAATTGAAAGTACTTCGAAATGTGGCCATGACTCATACTTGCCCGCGAAAGACGCGGTTTTGTGCCACGTATGTTGTGAGGCACGTCGTATGGAGCTGCTGCAAGCAAGTAATGTGGAACCAGCATTCGTGGAAACGGGATTCTCCAACTGGAAAAAGGCAGCGTTTCGTCTCAAGTGTCACAGGGATGTGGTATTACGAATTTCGACTTAGAAATTGGGATCCGCTCAACGTGTGGACGTGCAGCTCAATGAGCAAAGTCGAAAAGAACTACTGGTCGCCAGATCGGCACTTCAGCTGAGTTTGGAAATCTGTTTAATTCTTCATGCAAATAATGAGGCTGAAATGAATTTCATCCGAGAGAATGAAGAATCCACTTTGAGATTTGGTTCAATTTGGCCCTTGCAGGTGATCTTCTCATCGATAAAGTTTCTGGGTCGCCAAGGGCTTTTCGAGGTCATGAGACCAACACTGGCAATTTTTTGGAATCGGTTCGCCTTTTGGGAACAGACGTAAAAGCTGTTGAGAACTGGCTCTCTCCTAGGGAAAATTTCACGAGTTTCGATATCCAGAATGAAATAATATTTTGCACGGGTCATCCGCATGCCAAAGCAACGTAGTCCTCCTCGTTGGGCTTGGTCGCAGACGGCACAACGGATGTCAATGAAAAGGAGCAATTCAGCATATGCCTGAGGACGGTGGAATGCAAGATTTCACAAGGAAATCCGAGGAGAGAAGGAGAATATTTGCATTTTAGTTTTACATGAATTTGGCACGATTGCGATCCTGATCGTGTGTGAATGAAATAGTAATTTTCGAATTCCAGGACTGACCTGTCTCATTTGCCCCCCCCACTTTCGAGAACGTTCCTACGCCGATGCAAAGCACAGTTGTATTTTCCCCTCTCTGAGTCTTAATAATGATCGTGAAATTCTTCGTTAGTCAATGGGTATCATTGCTGCGATCGAAATGAATGAGAAAGAAGTTAGGGGCATGTCATCGTCTCCCTAAAAAAGTCTTTCCTAAATTAATACGAGTTATTTCGTTGGAAGACTAAGCGAGATTTAAATGGGAAACTCAGAATGGATGAATACACTTTCCCCAACCGCTTAGAATGCAGGACATAGCGACGTGGCGACATCTACAACAGTTACAGCATCCGCAGATGCGTCATAGAAAAGCATGGTGAGTCATAGGAGCCAATAGGAGTCATAGGAGGTGAATTCATTCGATAAGCACTGTACATCTGCAGAAGACGGCTGCAGATCATACGTCAGGACTCAGATCCTTCGGCAGTGACCTCGTCTGAATTTTCCATGGGAATATCTGACTTTTAACTTTTGAACTACCGAAGATACGTATATACTGGACACGCCAAAAGTCACGGACGCATTTCAAATGTTTTCCAGGTTAATTTTTCAACTGTTTTAACTTTTTTCCCATGTGATTGCAGCTGACAATTTGGAGTTTATTTAGTGGCAATTTCTTATTTATAGCATAAACGTGCTGACAGCAGAGCATAAAATACATACAAGTGGTGAAGGTATTCTAAGAGACTAAGTCTGTAACACGAACTCAAAGAAGTTATCGCTGCATTTTCAACTTTCGCACAGCGCCTACACGAAACGCTTCCTTGAATTTTGTTGAAAATTTTCAAATTCTAAAATCGAATCATTTCATTCAAGACAGAAAAGTCCTACATTCTCCCGATCTGTTCCTATGAGATTTCTCTGTGAGACACTGTGTGCACAAAAGATCGCGCGTTTACCGACAAACCAGAGAATATCCCTGAACTGAAAAAAAAGATCGAAAAAGTCATTCGTGAAATCTCTCAAGACGTCTCACGCAACGTTATAGCGGATTTTTATGCAAATGCATATTTTTTATGAAGCCTCGTAGGAGCATGTAACACAGGTAGGATCGTGTCTTAGTAGAGGAAGCGATTTCCTGCATTTAAAAGACGCATGAAAATGAAAATTTTTGCGTTTTTCTCAGAATGTGCACACTGATGCATTTTTCTCCTGTTTTCCATGGAAAAAAAAGTTCAGAAAAATGTTTTTTCTATGAGCAACCGATGAAAATTTTCAGGTAATCTTGTGCTGGGTGACGGGTAGCGAGGAGGGATAAAGCTTCTCCGAGTCTTGTCTAAATACATCCACCACCCCCCTTTCCCCTTCCCCCCACCCCCCTTTCCCCTTCCCCCCCCCCCCCCCCCCCTCCCCCCCGAGGAGATGACATGAATAGACCAACTATGCCCAGTAGGCACCTAATCTCATCTCTGACCACTTCGTGGGTAAAGGGGAAGCTTGGCCACATCAAATGTACGTTGTAGTTCCTTCTTCCGAATAATTCGTTCTGCATTTTAAGTAGCATGTTTTTGCATATTTCACCACTTTCGTACCTATTTCTTGCATATTTTGGCTATTTTAATTGCATGGGTATGTGCATATTTTAGGACTTATTAGCACACAAAAAATCCGCTCCCTAATTATCACCTCGAAAAGAAATGAGAATCCCTCAGTGCAAGACCTTGGCTCGTTCGACGATGCACGACTCCCCGACGTAAACGCTCCGGTACCGACAACTCTCTGACGACGTACCGGGACTCTCGCAGGAGTACGACACCCGAAAGACCATTCGACCGCCTGACGGCCATGGCGCATCCTGCTACTGGCCCCACCTCACACTAGGTAGGGGCTCTATCGTATCCTAGTGAGCGATCGTCTCCTTTCCGGTTTTCGACTCGGTCGCGATTCGATTCCCACTGTGAGAAACCGACCTCGGAGGAAGTGGACCCGACCTCGTATATTTCGGCTCGTTACCTTCTCACCTCTCGCACGTTTCTCGAGCGACGGGTATAGGATGAGGCGGACTTAGCAGTGCATAGCATCTGCCGAAAAGAGTGCGAGGCAGGAAGACCAGAACACGAACGGCGCTAAGTACAGGGGCTGTACTCCGCGAAGGTCCACGAGGTCCCGGTCATCCCGGCGTCTCGCATCATAAAAGGTTTCCATTCCGATCGTATCGTCGCGACGTCATAAAAGTGTTCGAGTTTCGATGTCCGTCGCGTCGGATCGATGATCGAACGAATGCAACGAGATCGAATCGACATTTGCTC